AAAGAAGACGGAATGAAAATTCCCCATATTTTAACTGGCATGGAAACACTTTGGGTTCGAGATTATAACGTCAATACTTGAGATTAGCTTTTCATTAACGCTTAATTTGCTTTCATATTTATATATATATATATATATATATATATATATATATATATATATATATATATTAGTTAAATTAGAAATTAGAGAAAATTCAACAGTTCATGAATGTTATTAAACTGAACATTCTCGTTTTTTATACGTTTAGCTATTATTTGAATAAATATTTGACACTCTTCACTCGGTGAACGAGATTATGCAAATCAATGCATATATAATGTTTCCTTTCATGGCTTGTACGAATATGTAATTATTTTGCCTCATTCAGTGCAAAGTCTGTTCGTTATGCTCTGAAACATAAGCCACGATTCGTCTTATACAGTCAGACATTTTTAGCTGGCCTCTCGAAATATTTTTGTCGTTTGGTTTATTTTTAGAGACGCCATGACGTAACATTCTATCCAATATCTCAAAACAATGTGGAGTAATTATAAGGAATGACTGACATTCTGTAATCACTATAAAATTGTAAAATATAATAAATATTATGCTGGGCAAAGATGAAAAAGGTTACAGAGAAATTAAATTATTAGAGCGAGTTGAGCTTTTGTTAAAATCAAAAGCATCGGTTTTAACGTGAGGTGGGCATATCAGGTAACGATTAAGCCATTAATTTTTAAACAGACTAGCTAGCTGATGAAAACGGCCGTAATGTAAATTCGCTGCAACAGTGTATTTAAAAAAAATAATGATGTGGGAATAATCCTTGAAAATAACGAAAAGAAAACCGAATAAAATTGATCGATTTCTTTCTTTTCTTTTGTAACAAGTTAGAAATAATTATTTTAAATGAACGGACCGGAATGAAATGATGAGATAATCAAGAAACAAACACATTTATTTCGCAGATAAAGACTAAAATAAATACTGTTTTGCTTTAAAATTTGATGGTCTTGCAAGATAAAAGGTTGGCTTGAAAAAATGCTTGACGATTTGCCAGACTACAGAGAAATGACATCATCTAATATGGTATCCACGGTGCGTTCACGAGACTAAACGAGAACATATGAGAGGGCTGAGGAGAACAATCAAAAATACTGAATTAAATGAGAGAAAAGAGACAAGGCCCACGGCGAAAAGGAGAAATTTAAAATACACACGCACATGAAAATAAATAAAGAAATAAATAGAATACTCTTCTAAAATAGAGATGAAGAATGAAAAAGATAGGAATGGAGTGAAAACGGATTACGAAGTGTAGCAATTTTGTATTTTAAATTATATTATCTGTTACACATTCTTCTATCTATCTATCTATCTATCTATCTATCTATCTATCTATCTATCTATCTATCTATCTATCTATCTATCAGAAAGGGAGAATGAGTCAAGTAAAGAAGTAATTGAATGAAATTGGGATGGAGACGAGAGGAATCAAAAGGACATATCAAAAGAGAAAGCGAGTGAAAGAGTCTGGGGAGAGAGAGAGAGGGGGGGTAAGGAGAAGAGAAGCACGGATAGTAGAGGAAAGAAGAGAAAGAAAGACACCGTGAAACCTGAAGTTATAGGAAGGGGGACAGCGAAAAACCTACAGGTGGGAATAACGTTTAGAAGCAGAAAGATTGGAAATGCACCGTAAAGAAGAAGAAGAATAAGAAGAATAAAACTAATAAGAAGAAGAAGATGAAGAAAGAGGAAATCTGAGTAGGAATACTGGCGGCAAAATCGACGAAATAGTAGCACAATTTGAAACATAGTGACTTAAATATAAAACTAAATATTCGCAGGAGGCTACCATAATCGACTCTGTTAAGCTTTTAATACGACAATCGTTCACATCAATTAAACAAATGACTGAATACAGTTTTAGCAAATTCAGAATATAATTTTGCTAATAAACATATTGCGGTTACTTTCACTTTCGATATTATTATGAGCAATAATGTCAGGAGGTTAATAATTAATACATTAAAAGCAATAGTAATGAGATAAACAGTGGAGATGATTTATATTATGACATACGAATTTATACAACATTTGAAAATAATATTGTATTCCCTTAAGAGAAAAATATGATTACTTTTATTTTATTTAAGAGAATAGCCGGGAATTAAAGATTCAACAGGACTTATACGTGTATAATTTGAACTGTAAATCTATCTATCTATCTATCTATCTATCTATCTATCTATCTATCTATCTATCTATCTATCTATCTATCTTCATATTTTCTGTTTCTATCTATCTATCTATCTATCTATCTATGTTCATATTTTCTGTTAATATCTATCTATCTATGTTCATATTTTCTGTTCATATCTATCTATCTATCTATCTATGTTCATATTTTCTGTTAATATCTATCTATCTATGTTCATATTTTCTGTTCATATCTATCTATCTATCTATCTATCTATCTATCTATCTATCTATCTATCTATCTATTCAGTCTATTTAGATCTATCTACCTTGCATGGATTCTTCATAGTTATACGACATATTCTAGAACACTTATTTTATTCCATTCCCTACTGTTTATGTTCTATTGCCGCAGTGCACAAAATCTGGTCCTATATACAAATTAGTACATCCAGTCTTACTTCCCCATACTTCCATTTTCTTAATCTTATTATTTTATTGCCAACAGAAATTCAAATCGAAATCTTCAAAAGCAGAAATAGCGAAAATATCAACAACCTGGAAAAGTCGGTTATTGCATCGATTTCTTGAGCACTGCGGCCATATATAAGTGGACCTACGATCTTCTGCATTTTCTAAAAACTTGTTTTCACATAACTCAATTGATAATCGTATCTTTTTCTTTTTTTCCTTTCATATTTTTTCCTTTTTTTTTTTTTTTTTTACCTGCTACGCTTTTATTTTTTTTACCAAGGTGATGAGAGAAAAGGAACGAGGGAGAACCGGAGATGAGAAAAAAAATATAGAGAGAAAAATGTAAGAAAGAAATGAAGATGAATATAGACAGTAGAAGATAAAAAAAGAGATAGGGAGAGAGGGAAAGAGAGAACGAAATAAAGAGAGAAATGGTAAGGAAAGAAAGCGAGAAAGAGGAAGAGAATAAAAAAGAATAAATATAAGGAAAGTGAGAGAGAAGACATCGATATATATATATATATATATATATATATATATATATATATATATATATGTGTGTGTGTGTGTGTGTGTGTGTACGCTCGCGCGCGTGTGTATCAAGAAAGAGAGAGGGGAGAGAAAAGGAGAGAGGAAGAGCACTAGAAATTATGAGAAAGCGAAGAAAAGGATAAAATAGAAAGACAAAGTGAGAGTGGAAGAGAAAGAAGTAAGTAAGAGGGTGGCTGAGAGAGAGAGAGAGAGAGAGAGAAAGAGAGGGAGAGAACGAGGAGAAGCATAAAATGTAGAAAAAGCATAAGGAAAATGCAAAAGAAAGAAAGAGAGAAAGAAAAATAAATCAAGAAACCAAAGAAAGAAAGATAGTCGAGAATAAAGACAAAATGTTGGAAGTAGGATAAGAAAAATGGGTGAAGTTAGCAAGCAAGCTAAATAGAGGGAAAAGGCAAAGAGGAAGTGTGTGTGTGTGAGAGAGAGAGACAGAGAGAGAGAGACAGAGAGAGATAACCGAGAATAAAGGAAAAAAGTTCGAAGAAAGATAAGAAAAAAAGGAAGATAGCAAGATAGAGAGAGGAAGAGAAAGAGAGAGAGAGAGAGAATGAAAGATAAAGAGAAAGACGATAGAAAAAAACAAAGTGAGGCAACGATAGACATAGAAAGAGAGAGAAATAAGGATTGCGAAAACGGACTTAGAAGATAACGATAGTGATAGCGGTTTTAAACTTAAGTATTAGTGTTAGATCCGATTTAAACATGGTTGGTTGTGTTAAAGCCCTTAGGAGAAAAGGCAGGCGCTTTTGTATAACGAATTTCGTCAGGAAAAACGAGAAATGTATATATATATTTAATTTGAGTAGAAAACAAAATAGTAGCATCTAATAGCAATATTATTCTAAGAGTTAAGAAAAGAGACATACATAATACGAAAGTAGAAGTATTTTTTCAATAGCGGTTTAGGCAGTTATTTATCTAAATATGAATATGTATTTCTCTAAATATCTATCTCAATATTGAATAAACACAAAGTGAACTATCAATATTATCAAGGAAAAAAGTTAAAAGAAGAAGAAAAAATTGAAGAAAACAACAGAGACGCATGTAGTCAACATTATATTAATAACCTCTCATTAGTATTTCAAATTTGCCTAGGAATCTAGCAGTTCACATTGCGTTAGTTCGACTGGCTGAATTTATCCTTCAATCTAATTGTCCTTCGTTCACAAATTAATCCTTTAGTTTTTCCAATCTTTAATCCATTCGTTTCTATTTCGATTGGTGGTGTACGGGATGAACATGATGGAATTCGTATAAACCAGTCCTAGCCCTCCATAGAAGCAAGAAATTAATATATTGTTAAAGATTTCTGTAGAATTAATGATCTATCTATCTATCTATCTATCTATCTATCTATCTATCTATCTATCTATCTATCTATCTATCTATCTATCTATCTATCCTCTATCTATCTATCTATCTATCTATCTATCTATCTATCTATCTATCTATCTATCTATCTATGTCAGTCTGTTCATTATCTATCTATCTATCTATCTATCTATCTATCTATCTATCTATCTATCTATCTATGTCAGTCTGTTCATTATCTATCTATCTATCTATCTATCTATCTATCTATCTATCTATCTATCTATCTATCTATGTCAGTCTGTTCATTATCTATCTATCTATCTATCTATCTATCTATCTATCTATCTATCTATCTATCTATCTATGTCAGTCTGTTCATTATCTATCTATCTATCTATCTATCTATCTATCTATCTATCTATCTATCTATGTCAGTCTGTTCATTATCTATCTATCTATCTATCTATCTATCTATCTATCTATCTATCTATCTATCTATCTATCTATCTATGTCAGTCTGTTCATTATCTATCTATCTATCTATCTATCTATCTATCTATCTATCTATCTATCTATCTATCTATCTATGTCAGTCTGTTCATTATCTATCTATCTATCTATCTATCTATCTATCTATCTATCTATCTATCTATCTATCTATCTATGACGGTCTGTTCATTATCTATCTATCTATCTATCTATCTATCTATCTATCTATCTATCTATCTATCTATCTATCTATCGCCGTAGATATTTACGTCGGCTAAGAGTGAAACAAATATATTTTGCGCAACCTGTTTAATTTTTGGCATAATCTACCTTTTCGATGCATTTAATTCAGTACTACCGTTTTAATTAAACGTTATACAGTGAACATCTCAGATCAAAATCCAGTCAATATGTGGCATAAGCACATTTATATAACCTCTTGTTTCTGTTAATATCTGTCTGATACTCACTTGACCATTTTTATTCGTACGTGTGTAAAATACACCTTTCTATAACGAGGCTTTTATATCGTCAATATGCTACTGACGTAAGTAAATTGTGACATGTTTGTAACTTTTATTTGATTCACTCATTTATCTAGCAACTAGTATAATTCCTGAACCCAAAGAAAGATATAATATTAGGTATATGTGAAAACCTGTAAATAAATACACAGTAATATAAGTCAACAGATTCAATTGGAATTTCGTATATTTGAACCAAGATACTAAATAGTAATGCTCAATCATTTATAAATGTATAAGTACTTTTATTATCAACAAAAGTCTAGTCTATATTTTTTATTCTCGACAAGGGTCTAGCCTTAGAAAAAAAGCCTTAATCCATGTCTTCTCACCCCCCCCGCCAGCTATGGGTTAAATAGCAGAGAAGAATGTGCTCTCTCTCTCTCTCTTGTCTGCCATAGCAGCCAGTCTAGAATAAAGATTAGTTTGAATTCCAAACAGTGGAGAAGGCCACTGGAAAGTACTCCACTATCTTTCTCAAGAAGCCATGGCAATTATTATGTGTAATCTTTATTATGTGATAATAAAGAAAGGGAGTCTGTGGAGAGCCATGATCGACTACGTCCTGAAAGAATATAGTATTTAAAAAAATAAATATAATATAAAATTTAATATGAATAGAATATAACACTAATATACAAATATAATAGCAACATAAAGTCATCGTATGTTTAAAACAAATCTGGCACACACATAATTATACTTCCAAAATACGATTTTAACCAACACACACACACACACACACACACACACACACACACACACACACACACACACACACACACATATATATATATATATATATATATATATATATGTCTCCCATACACCATATAGTCACAAACATGTTCACATATAAATACTCATACATATATACATACACACACATTTACACATGCAGATATACACGCATAAACACAGAAACGAATATTTGCTCATATACACAGCTAAGAACACATACGGACACATGCTCATATACATCTTATAGATACAAACATACGCACGCCTAACAAATGTACACACATACACATGCACACATACATATGCACATATAGTCACAAACATGCATAAACCTAAACACACATATGCACAAACATATACATACAAAAACACATACGCACAAATGAATACACGCCTCACCATACATACGTGAGTACACACACGCACATACAACCAATGTATTCATTATCTGTTTAGAGGTGCTACAAAATAAATATTTTAATAAAAGTTCGGAATGATATATATTTCTACTGAAAAGTCGTTTCGAGTTTTTAAATTGTTTAAAAGACATTACAGCTGTCTTTCTTCTTCTTCTTCTTCTTCTATGCACGGTGTCCCTTAAGGACATAGGCGATCATGACACTCCACATTTTCCTATCCTTTGTAGCGCTTAATAAATTTTGTCTTAAACCTTTCGCCATCCATTTACTCAAGCTGGCTAGGTGGGTCATGTTTGCCTTCAGTTTGACCTGTGAGAATCAGATTTTCCAAGCCGTCTTGCCTCATTGTGTGTCTTGCCTCGTCAATCATGTATCGAAAGATATATGATCATCTAAGCGTGTATCATGCATGGCACATAACTGGCTGACTAAAGACCCAACAGTTCATCTTAGAATTGTTTGAACCGCAAGACTACCTACACATCTAATTTGATTATAGTGGTGTACGGCTTGTGTAGAAACAACCACACTTTTCTGAAGAAGTGATAACAGACAAATGGCGCTCAAAATACCACGAAGTCTCTAAACAATACTGTCCGTGTCTTATTATCACAGAACTTAACATCTCCCGAATAATGTCAAAGTCTAATGAAAGTTCGTGTAATGAAATATGACCAGTCCTTGAAAAATGGTTTGAATTCAGAAATTTTCTTCTCACAGATTGAGGCGAGAGAGCTCAGTCGGATCTATTTAACTGTAGCTGGAGGAAGATGTGTTCTTGCCTTTTCCAAAGGCATTAGTAAGAA